GAAACATGTGAACAAAAAAAATTTTGTTTGAAAAACATAGGGTATTAACGTGCTAATTTTGATGAAAATGCTATGAAATTCAACTAAGGGCATATAAGCGCTAAGAGAGTGAAACTATGAGGTATTTAAGTGCCATTTACCCTAAAATAAAAGACTATATCATATAGTAGCTACTAGCGAATCTAAATACATAGAATTCATAATAGATTACACTAAGTTAATTCTAATATTGTAGAACGACGCTCTTGTTTGAAAGAATGTAAATCAATCTAAGTAGTGAATCTAAATCAAATGTCTCTACGATTTCTCTTTCAATATAAAGAACTAAATTATCAGCAAGAAATCCATCCTCCATTTTTTGACGGTAAATAAAGCATTACTATTAAAAAGAGAAAAAATTTATAGAAATACAAGAAGAAGTTAGATTTAAAAGATTAAACAAGCCAACAACAAATCACCAAATTAGATCCTCTACTACAACAAAGAACAATAAAAGCTAAGGTTTTGTACTAAAGAGGGTATTTGGGAAGGCTTTTTTTAAGCTTCTAAGTTATGCTAGCTTTTAGTGGCTTTTGGCTTTTCGAATAAAAATACTATTTAAATTATTTAAGTAGAATAGTAATCTATTTGGTCAAACCTAGTTTTTTTAGATGAGCTTATAAGCCAATTTTTCAAAAGCTGGGGTATATCAGCTTTTTAAAATGGGACTTAGAAGCTAACTTATTAAGTATTTTACCAAACAAATAGAAATGAAAAAGCTAGCTTAAAAGCTAGTTTGACCAAAAACTAAGCCTCCTTAAACACCCTCTAAATTGGGGTTTTGTTTTTCTCAATATTGACAAAAAATAAAGACAATGTCACTAAATAATAACTACTATTAAAAAGAAAGAACAAGTGAAGGAGAATGCGGGTTCTTTCTCATGCCTAAATATTTTAATTTTAATTTTTTAATCATTATTAATTGTGACTTGACTTGGGTAGTCAGCAGTTAAGGGTGTTTACCCTTCGAAACTAGTTTTTTTTTTGTGGGGTGGGGGTTTAAATAAAAGATCAATCCTAGAAAACACCCACCCTCAACACTATTACCTTTAAAAAAAATTATGGGGGGACCGTGGCCCCATCCTGCCATTAAATGGCTCCGCCTCTGCATCTAAATTTGACATCAAACAAAAACTACTCTATTCCAAGGAATTTGCAGGGCTTTGATTATTCGTTGTTTACAAACTAGACTGTGAAATAAGAATAATAGAAAATTATAAAAATTGTGCTAGCTTCACTAATTATAATGAAGTTTTATTCTCCAGGTTTGTAGACAAAAACTGGATGCTAGTGAGGCCTATGGGAGTAAAAAATTTCTTTGTTGGTTATTCGAGATCAGTTCCAGTGTCAAGCATTCAGGAAAAAATTCAAACTTCTCAACAATACATGTCAATTACAGTCATAGTAAGACCATCGAAGGCATGTTGATGGTGTAAATCTATCTGATGTCCACTTAACGTCCAAATCAAAAGAACATATATTTTGTTTGGTGTTTAAACTTCAGTAGGCTGGTTATATTTTTCCATTAAGTTTTTGGCTAAGTTGCATGAAAACGGGCACGGGTACTGGTACGGGTGCGGGTACGGGTAAGGGACACGGCAAAACTGTAAAATGTAGGGTACGGGGACACGACAAAATATACATATTGAATTAATAATGTACATGAGATAATTTTTCCCCGCTTCATTGGTCATTAGAATTAAAATTCCGATCACATTCTTGAGTTTCTTTTATCATATTGATTATCGTGAATTGTAAATTACTCTTTTTTTTTACTAGACATCTAAACGACTCATTAACTATATAGTTTTGAACTTGGGTATGGACTGAAACGAACCTGACCCGTATCTCATTAGTTTCAAAAGACGGATGTGAAGTGTAAGCTCTACGTCCAGGAAGTCTTTGACAAGTGTTTTAAATTAACACATATATCTTATAATTGAGTACATGTTGTAATAAATGCATGCATATATTCAAGAAGTGTCCATGAAGTTTGGGTACGGGAAAGTGCCGGGTACGTGTCCGGTACGGGTACGGCTTCAATATAGAAGTACCCGGGTAACATAGGTTTTTGGTTAGTGGTCCATTGATGAAAGGTAGAGTGTACTTCTATTTAGTTTATTCAAAAAATTGGTGGCTTTATGAGGAATTTTTTAAGGCTACGCTTTCATTCTCTCAAGGATTATATGTTGAAAAATGTTTTTATTTGGATCTCTGCAGAGTGAACCTTAAGAAGAGAATCCTTTATTATTGTGGACTAGTCATGTATTTTTTACATTCTTAGAAGGAATATGTTCATTAGGATTTTTATTTTTATTTTTTAATAGCAGAAAATAGGTGAACCCGATATTGGTTAGATAACTTCACATTTTTGCCAAGGATCTACTTCATACGTTTGTCATGGACGTGACGGGCCACAAATCCCTCAACAATGTAGAGACTTCATACACCACAATCAACAGATACCCAACAGCAAGAGCAATTCATGCAGTCACCAGACTCCAGATCTATCCCTTCCCTGTAACCCTGCAGTGTGCATTCAGTCCTAGTGTTGTTTTCCCAACGGCAGCTAATCAATGAGTTAATTATTATTAGTCTTACCAGCATGAAGAAATCCAGCTAGATGTCTGATGATTCCGACATCTTGTGTTTCTCAAGCATGCACCCCATTCCACTACCTTGAGAGCACTACTCCACACCAATGCTTGCACTCTTCTCAAGCCCTTGAGTAAATACTACATGCATTTCCATCCATTCTCCTATTTTTTATAGTGTAAATACTACAACTTCATAAACCAAGCCATGGCAAAGACATACTTCTTCCTTTCTGATTTTGAGCAACAAATGCATGCTTGTTGAAGGCAGAGCTGTTGAAGGAAGCGAAGAGTGAGGGAATTGATGCAGAAGGAATTTGGATGAACAGCAAGAACGAAGCTTTGCCACCTCTTTATCCGATAACGCGGGCTTTTGCAATGCCTGTACTCCCTCCACTTCCTGGGGTCCACTTGTTGCCTCCCTTGCCTCCTCTTTCAATGTCCCTGGGTCTCCTTTTCGTCCATCTTCATCTCCTTGAGATTTGAAGCTGTTGGAGTTGGTGATCGTGTGCCCTTTTGGAGGATAGTTATCTTTCGGTCATGAGATATTAGGAGCCCTTTGTTTTGTTTTCTGTTTTGAATGTCAAATGGGTTGCCGAGGAGTTTGTGTTTACAATATGTTGACATTGATGTGCTTCTGTTATGTTGGGATCAATGAACTTGTGGATCACATTATGAGTTGAGTAAGCATGCTGAGCACTGAGCATATATGTTTCATTTATGCCACACCCCTCAAATCTACAGATTACCAGCAAAATTAATTCTCTGGAGGCTGTTATCCAATGTTCAGTCAATCAATTACAACTACAAAGATGTACGCATATCGCAAGAGCTTTACAATTAACATAAATGAAAATGAATCAAGTCAAGTCTCTGAGCTGACTAAGAGAGACCGTCTCTTTGTAAGATGGGTTCGGAAAATGCACGAGGAACCCTGCAGGAGAAATAAGAAAAAATGACGTCAATTATAAATAGAAAAAAAGGATGGATTAAGCAACATAAAACGTGCAAATTGCTAGGTTAAAACAACATACCCTCTTCAATTGAGTGCTCAGATGCGAATATATTCTCTTCTCGAAAGTCTATTACGGCGCTTCATCAAGGAAGGCGCTTCATCAAGAATGAAGCTCCATCTATTAGAGAGTCGGCTTCTCCAAGTCGAAAAGGTATCATACAGAGATGGAAACCCGAAGCAAAACAGGAGAAAAAACACCACAATTCCACATATTTTCATCACATTTATAAATCCATCTTTTATGGCCGGATCGTTTTGCATGGTCCAGGGTACACCGCCGACATTCATCCCAAAAACTGCGTCCAGCCAAGAAGGAAATTTGGGGGGTTTTAGCATTTTCATCATGCAAGGATAGTAAAGAATGTACAGATATTATCATGATATCGGGGGGTTGGAGTAGCAACATTCTGGAAGAAAATAATTCCGTAAATTAAATGGAGTGTGTAGTTTCCACACTTTCAAGAAAATCAATGTGCTTGTTATTAGATTTGAATTTGCTGAACAAACTTAGCCTTCTAATACGTCGAGTTGCATGTTGAAATTTGGATCTGTTTTCTTTAGTTGGATGTTTACACAATTACACTTGACAAACAACATTTGAATTGAGAATTAGACCGGCACTTACTTCCTGTAATGATAGATAGAGGGAGAAAAACCACGGAGAGAAACGAGAGGCAGTAGAGCTTCCTGTTTATTTGCTCAGCTTGCCAGCTATCGAGACCAGCTTGAACCGCGGCGACCCGGTTTGCGATAAATCCCAAATTCTCCTTCAGCCTTCTAAGGCGACCTAGTAACTCTTCAAGAGCGACGATATCTTCATTCGCAAACCAAGTTTTCATCGCGCATTTCTCTTTTACTCGTGGAAATACTTGTTCGCCGTGTGAAACTACCTGGATTGCACAATACCTTAGCAAATCCAAAACAATACTAAAAGAGAATGTTTGCTAGCTAGTTCGAAAAAATAAAATACTTGTTGGTTCTATTTGCAGTTTTGAAAGGTATTGTAGAGAGGAGATCAAGCCATCAAGCTTTAAACCCTTAAAACTGAGAAGGAGCGCTACGTGCGCAGAACATTGTATGATATGTAAGCGCGAGATTACCTGTAGAAGGCGCTGCAGATTCAGATGCATTTTAGGAATTCTTCTGTCATCCAACATTTGTTTCTTCAATACGGAACCACCTGCAATTACTAGCTTAATTCATTTGAGAAATTGCATAATTACAAGATATTATGGATTTCATGAACTCCAGCACATCATGGATTTTTTTTCTTTTTCCATTTCGATTCTATTATGAAATTTATTCGACATCTAATTTAGTTAGGAAAATTTAGAGTACTTGACAAAGAAGTCCATTTCCGACCGATCAATAAGATGTTTCTATGAACACACAAATGTGAGCACATGTTGGACCGTTTGGTTCGATAGAAATTCGACATGAAATTTTTTTTTTGCGGGAACTTTAGAGCATTATGAGAAAACATAGCCAACATATTACAGAGGAATTCTATCTCGGTTAGGAGGAAGGGGTGGATATTATCCAGTATCTACCTCATTAGTTGAACAAAGATAAATCATTGACGATAATTAAAAAAAAAATTAGAGATCAAGCAAACAAACGGAAAACTTGCACAACATGAAATTACCTTTATCCAATTCTATCTCCACAGCATCCAATTCTATCTCAAGCTTGATAACAATATCCTGAATCTGATCAACATGTGTACCAACAATATGCAACAGGAGATTCGATGTCGTCTTTGGAACAGGATTATCAGCCTCCTCCGAGTGATTCATCATCAGCAATGACTCGAGAACTCTCTCCTCGATCACAACACCACCCGATTCAGCCTTCTCCTCCCCTCGAACCAAGTCGACACTCCAAACACTAGGTATCACAGACAACAAGGATTTCCCGGTTTGCTTAAATCCAAGCCTGGGCACTCTCCCTAAGGACACGGTAACGATCGAATTCTCTGTGACTCTAGCAGCTAGCCTAAGAGTGAAGCTGCTCGCTGTTGGGCCCGGAGAGTTAACCCTGAAGAAGAGAGAGCCATCGACGTGGCCACAAAAAGGGCCATCGCTGACCAGGGTCAGAATGTCCTGGAGCTTAAGAGGAGGGCAAAGCGCTGCAATCATACACCGAGCCGAAACTGCAAGCTTTTGGTTTCCTTTCGGGAGTTCTACGTGATACCAACTGAATTCTTTAGCAAACCCCTGTTCTGAATTTAAATCCCAATCTTTTGTGAAGTAATTCCCCAACCCATCAAATCTGTAGGCTTTTTTCCTTACTAAATCAGAGAATTGGGTGATGGGGGTCTGATCTTCTTCATCCATAGCTACACTTTTTTTTCTTTTTTTCTTTTTCTTCAAACTACTCTAAAAGTAAGAGAGACCCAATTCGGAAAGGACAGAACTTTTTTTGAAAATTAAAGGGAATACAACGGGGAAAGGACTCTAACCTTCAATCCGAAAGATACCCCGATTTGAAATTGTGAGATTAATGCAGAGAAAGCTTAGTATTTGATCACCAAAGTTTGCGTGCTTGCTTGAATTTTGGCATCACGGTAAGATGATGAAGAGTTTTTTTTTTTTTTTTGGTGGTGGGGGGCTGATATACTAGAATCAGTTGGGTAAGATGATGAAGAGTTTTTTTTTTTTTTTTGGTGGTGGGGGGCTGATATACTAGAATCAGTTGCAGTTGGATTCTTCTTTTTTCAGTTATGTACTCCGACTGAAACTCAAATACTCTAGATTGAGTCACGCCCAGTGTCACGTGACGACCTTCCTTCGGTAACTGAAAGCGTATCTTTTCGGTTAGGTCTGTTACCTAGCTAGTGTTTCAGATAGAACCCTTGAATCATTTCATTATTACTGGCATTCTAGCTAGTGACCCCTTACCTGCACTACCAAATCCATTCATGCCCCTCTCCCCCACCTCCAACGATGCCTCCGTCGGCGACGTCTCGCTGTCGGAGCTTCGAGAGGCACGCGGGAGGACGATGTTAGTCCGCAAAATGGCTGTTTGCTCCTTCATCCTTGCATTCCCGATCATGTTTCGGGCGGTGCAAGAGGGCCTCGACGCGCTTCTGCCCACGATGTTGTCGTCGACGTATTTCGAGGTCTTCATAGAACTGCAGCTCATCTTTAGCATGGTCCTTTTCCTCGTGTCATTGGGCGCCAATTCAAGACACGGCCCGTTGGTGGTTCGTGACGCCCGACCATTACTCAGTGTTGCTGTGGGCTTCTTGTTGCCCGGGTACTTGCTCCTATTCGTTTGCATTGCGTTCATATTGATTAAGGGGCTGCTTGGCTTGCTTCAATGATAAATTACGGTAAATGTTGCGGCAACAGATGTTCTTCTTTCTTCGTTTCGATATTGCAATTATATTGTGGAACTTCAGTGTTTGGTCGGAAAATAATTTAGTGCAAAAGCTACATAATTTTTTCAAAACTTGGGTGTAGATGATTTTTCTATTTGAATCTAAAAAGATCTTTTTCAATAAGGTAGAACTATTTTTATTTTATATAATTTCATTTTTTGAATTACACGGTTTTTGCTCCCAACAAATTGGTTGTAGTATCTGCTGCAAGTTTTCTCTACAAAATGCAAGTCTATTTACCTTTCCTAATAACAAATTAGTTAACAAATGAAACAATACATGCATTAACAAATTAGATTGCTCTATTTACACTTATAACAACCATCTCCATCCAACCAAACAGCTCCTAAAGTCTCTCAAATGAGTTGTAGAGAGTCAATATTAGGCAGGGGCAAGTGTATGTCGAAATGCATGAATGGTTTTTGAATAATAGTGTGAATGAATGAATAATGTGATACATTTCGAAAAAGTCATCAAAAAAAAGTATTTAAATATTTTATATGAAAAAACAAATGTTAATTAAATGTAAAACAAAACCATGATCCTAAAACGAGCTCTGTGAAGAAAAAAACAGAACAAAGAAACAAAATTCATCAAAAAGAAGTATTTAAATATTTTATATGAAAAAATATTAAATTTCATAATTAGCTTTCTAGTTTTCTACTATATACTTTATAAAACTTTAAGCACACTTTAAAAAAATTTACTATGTACCAACCGAATTTGCGTACCGAAGCAAGCTACCCCCTAACGAATCCAAATTTTCTAAGTGCCGAATTGTGTACCCGAACTCGTATCGTGACCGGCTACGTATCGCGTACTGTGTAACTATGCAATGCACATACGGTACACATACTCAACTGATATTTGATAATCAGACAAATTAAATGCACGAAGATCATATTCGATTCACTTAAAAGACGAACGTCAAAGCATGTCTTTGAATTTAATTTAAGCGAATATTTAAGAAATTAAACACCAGGTGTTAAATGATATCCGATCAACTTCCACCTGCGATCCATTGGACAACCACAAAGTTTCGAGAGAAATTGACCCTGTCCAAGTCAACCTGAGAATCAGTTGAGATGGCGATGGCGTCCATGGATCAAGGCATAGAGATCGAAACCTGAGTATCTATATCTCGTTTAGTTTCAACAAGGTAGATAAAACCTGTTTCATATCAGGACGATCTTCGACATTGAAGCAGGTGCAAGACAAAGCCAATTCTAAGGCACCGATGGCTTTTTCTTCCTCCGTTTCAGTCGGGAGCTCCATCTCTTGATCTAGGATACTACGGACGCCATCAATTCCACCCTCGAATGCTTTCTCCACGTACAACTGCAATGTGAGAGGCACGCCATCTACTTCAATAGTCCCCGTGGGCCTTCTTCTAGTGAAGAACTCCATCATGATGATACCAAAGCTGAAGACGTCCACCTTCGTTGTTACCTTCCTCATGTATGCAAACTCTACAAAGACGGATTTGGATCAGTTAGTTTATACACAGTTCGAATTCAATGAAGATCTAGAGCTAGTTACTTTACACTTGTATTCCTACTATTGTAAATAAATTTCTAAATGTATTAGACTGTGATCCATGGGCTAGAACTCACATGATGAAGTTCTATTTTGAACTTCTTTTTGAAATTTCTAAAGACATCACCGCGGTATTAAGGGGTCCCCTCCTATTGTGTGGTTAAAATCTCAGACGATTCACATTTTGATTATTTTTGTTGGTTTCACACAACCAGGACATTGAGAATGATCAAATATTATGCAGAATCTAAGGGAATTTACAGTAGTTTTGTTGCCTTATTCTGAAGAAGCTCCACAGATGTATGTGTTCTGTTTATGGAAATCAGTAAAGTAACATATTCTAGTCTTCTATTATGCAGAAAGCAGAGAGTGTTGTAGACAGTTATGCTTACGTTGTTCTCATGGTTAGCCTAGTGCCCTGCTCCATCTAATTAACCAACGTTCGGACAGTATCAAACTGATAATCTAATAAAAGGTTTACCCGGAGCAATGTATCCAATGGTTCCCTGGAAAGCCGAAGAACTGGATTGCTTGCTCCCATCTGCAGGTGACTGAATGCGCAGCATGAGGGAAGTTCCAAAATCACTAACATGAGCGTCCCAGTCTTGATCAAAGAGAATGTTGGATGGCTTAAGATCACAGTGAACGATGGGGAAATCATAGCCAAAGTGCAAATAAACAAGAGCATTGGCAACCGAAACACAAACCCGAAGCCTTTCATATACCGTCCACCTCAATAAATCATTTCCAGGGTAGTGTATAACTCTTTCCAGGCTCCCATTCTGCATAAACTCTAGGATGAGTGCTTTTAACTTTGGTGCCTCTGCAGCATAACCAACCACTTTGACTAGGTTCTTGTGCTTTAACTGGATCAAAAATTTTAGCTCTCTGAGGAAAGATCTATTCGACTCAATAGGAAATTGAGCCAAGTTCAGTGTTTTCACAGCCACCAACTGCCCATTATCTTCGAGTCTTCCTTCATAGACTGTGCTCAAATTACTGCCACCAATCACCTTCTCTTCACTGAAGAAATCTGTAGCAATCTCCAGTTCATTTCTGGAGAACTTCTTCAAGCTTGGCACAGCTGAAGCTGCAGATATCATAACCTTCTCATCTTCTTGGTTTTTCTTCTTAAAACGCCACCGGAAAAGGATAACGAATGTAGACACCAGTAACGAGACAAGAAAGAAAAATGAGAGCACCAGAGCAATTAGCAACGTCTTTGCTTTGGTAGAAAGCCTATGGCCTCCGTTATTGCAAGCAGGGAAGGACTTTGAACCACAGAGTGCAGGGTTTCCTTCCAGGTTCGATTCATCCAAATTTTCGAAGATGCCTTCCTCTGGAATGGAGCCTTCCAGCCGGTTGAAGGAGAGATCGAGCTGTTTTAAGCTCGAAAGATTAGCCAAACTTTGGGGGATCTTCCCACTGAACTCATTGTTTGAAAGGTTTAACCTCTCAAGTAAGTCAAATCGAGAGAAAATGTTATCAGGCAACCGGCCAGAAAGTCTATTTAGTGAGACGTCAAGGGCATATAGATTTCTACACCCTTTGATAGACGAAGGGATACTACCCGATAGATTGTTGTTGGAGAGATCAATGGCTTGAACCATTTCCAATGCACCAATCTCATTTGGAACAGAACCAACCAAGTCATTGTTTGATAGATTGAGATACAACTGCAAATTCTTCAGTCTGCCTAATAGTGACACAGGAATCGAACCATTTAGATGGTTGTGGGAGAGATCTAAAGACAATAGTTCATCCATATTCCCCATGGACTTCGGTATAGAACCGCTGAGCATGTTGCCATGGAGATCCAAGTGCGAAAGCATTTTGAGCATAGAAACAGACTCCGGAATGGTACCAATAAACCGGTTGAGTTGCAACTCAAGGCGATTGAGCTGCTTGAGCTTGAAAACATGCTCAGGGATCGGACCTTTCAGAGAATTCTCCTTGAGAGAAAGCCCTTGGAGAAGTGACAGCTTCGATATCTCCGAAGGAATTTTGCCTGCAAAATTATTCCCACCCAGTTCTAAGTTCAACAGAGAGCTGAGGGTGCCAACCTCTGGTGGCATCGTTCCAGAGAAAGCGTTGTATGACAACAGTAATATCTTCAAGTTGGCGAGCTTGCCAATACTTGGATTAAGAAACCCTGTGAAATTGTTCGACGTCAAGTCCAAAGTAGAGAGTCGGCTGCTATTGAAGAGCTCTTGAGGGATGGTGCCTGACAATCGGTTCACCGCGAGGGAGAGAAATGTCAAGTTCTCCAACCTACCGAAACCCAAAGGAATGCGACCAGTAAGTCGATTGTACGACATGCTCACATTGGTAAGACGAGAGCAATTGGCGACGCTCAAGGGGATTGCACCCTCGAAGAAGTTGCTGTGGACGATCAATTTATCCAGTTTGAAAAGAGACCCCAGGTTGGGAGGGAGGGGGCCTGAGAGGGAATTCAAACTCAAAGACAAATATGAAAGGTTGGTCAAATTCATCAGTGACGGAGGGATCGCCCCCGTCAACTTATTCTGGTGAAGGGTTAGAGACTTGAGAGAGGCCAAGGACCCAAACCCTGATGGTATTGGTCCGGTTAGGTCGTTCTCGGAGAGGCCCAGAGAGATCAGAGAGCGGGACTGAGATAGAGACGGGGGAATTTCAGACGAAAGGCGGTTGTCATAGAGCCGCAGAGCCTGCAGACGGGCCAGATTTCCAAGCTCGCGAGGAATGCTGCCGCTCAGCCTATTGCTATACAAGTTCAGAAGGGTCAGGTTAGTGCATCTGCCGAGTTCCGCCGGGATGGAACCGGTGAGTTGGTTCTGAAAGAGCTGGAGGTAGACCAGGCGAGAGAAATTCCCAACAGCAGCGGGTATGGCTCCCGACAACCGGTTGGTACTCAAGTCCAGAGTTTTGATGCCCGTTAGGTTGGCAAACGAAGGAGGAAGAGAACCCACCAGATTGTTGGTGAAGGTTACGAAGATCTCAAGGCCAGCCAAGCTCCCTATGCGTTCAGGAATCACGCCGGTGAGATTGTTCTCGTTGAAACCTAAAGCAAACAAGGAAGTACAGTTGGCGATGCTGTCAGGGATGCTTCCCGTCAGAAAGTTGGCGCCCAGGTCGAGGAGCTCGAGGTTCGCCAGTTTTCCCAGCTCCGAGGGGATGGGGCCGGAGAGGAGGTTGTCATAGAGGATCAGCTGGGACAGGCCCGAGCACTCGGAAGCGGACAGGATCGGCCGAAAGCGCGTGCGACGTTCGAGTACCGGCGATGCTGGAGATGCTGCGCGCAGACGGCACATGCGCCTTTTGACTTCTGTTTCAACCGAGGCAGATGGAGACGACGTTCCGTTGCTGTTCGTCGGACGGTCGCAAGGAGACGCCCGGTCCATTGCAGTGGGAAATGCCCTCGACCTTGGCTAAGGCCCCAAGAGGGTCCTCGGAGACCGAGGCTTTGAAGGACATCAGAGCGTCCAACTGGAGTCTGGGTGCTGCTGACTGAGAGGAGACGGGCAGTGAAGGGAGGAGAAAGGTAATCAGGAGAAGGAATTCGCAACGAACCATCGCTGCGGGGATGGAGGCCGAAGTCGAACCTTTTATTACGAAGGGTTTCGATTTCGAAGCCCGCTTTAAAAACCGAGCCAACTTGTACTTAAAAAGAACAGGAGGGGAGACAATTATTAACAAGCAAACCAGCTAGCAAAGGTTCCAAGCCCATCGTCGAAGAGGTGCGATTTTGACTTTTGGCACTCGGTGTAGGGGCAAAGTAGTAAAGGTTCATTCTTTAATCACTCTTTCTGTCCAGGTCAAAAAGAATCCAAAATGTGAGCTGGATTATCCTTATGTTAAGTCCTTTTCTCCCCATCAAAATAGGAAGGGGAAAAAAAGGTTAGGCAGTTTAGCAGTGCTGGTCTCTGATACCACTTATTGTGCGCGGAAGCCACTTGTTGTGCGTCAAGAAACCAAACCAAACACCGATAGAGAAGACAACTCAAATCAGGCAATAATGGCACAAACTCAAACACAAAGTTTAACGTGGTTCGGTAAATTGTTGCCTACGTCCACAGAGTAAAAATGTGAGGGTTTTCACTATAGAGAAAGAGAGTACAAAATAGAGATTACAAGATCACTCAAACTAACATCTCAAACAAAACCCTTAAACAATTTGCTCAGAAAAGAACTCTCTTTTCTGTGCTCAAAACTCTCCTTCAAGCTACCCCAAAAGTGGTCAATTTGATCCAATAAACCCTAAACAAATCGTGTTCTTATTTATATAAAACAGGAAACCCAAACAGTGCAGGAAACCAAGCCCATGCCCAAAACCGCATCGCGGTTGATCGTCGCGGTCGACCGTGGCAAACGACAGAAATAAAAAATGCACTACAAGGTCTCGCGGTTGATCGTCGCGGTCGACCGTGGCAAACGACAGAAATATAAAATGCACTACAAGGTCTCGCGGTCGACCGCCGCGCCACTCGCGATCGACCGCAAAAGTCGACCGCAAAAAGTCCAAAGACTTTCCTGTATTCGTGCACGTTCGCGGTCGACCGCAACGCCACTCACAGTCGACCGTGAAGCATCCAAAACGTTTTTTGCTTTAATTTTTCTGAGCTTCGTCACCTTCGCCTCCAATTCTACAAGCAGGATACCCAAACGAAATCAAAGAAGCATGTAAGTTTCACCCTCATGGATTGCAATCATTATCCATGCGTCTTTTTTTTGTAAAATATGTATGCTTCTTGTAGCGCCAAAGTGTTACAAGGTTCATAATATATTCGTCATTACTATAAAGCATGTTAAATCCAACCCACAGTATTCCTATGCACAATGTGGTTCCGTGATACCTAATGCACAGATGTTTGACATTAAGCACACGCATTGAGGTGGACCACGGACTTTGTCATCCAAAGTATAGGTGTTGACTATTGAGTTTATCCTTTAATTAGGGAGGCTGAATTTGATGGCACTAGTTTACATGAGAAGCGATGAGAATAAACTACAGAAATTTCTCAGAGCCTTCACAGCTACTTAACAGGGCCATGTTCCTTTAAATTTTAATTAAAAAAAACAATGTGACAAATCAGAAGGATGAACAAGAAAAATATTTAAAACATAAAGGAGCAAAATCCATAGCTAAGCAAGGATTCCAAATTTTCCTTACCACAATGTTCGAATTCATGAAAGTTTGACATGTAAGTAGAAAACCTATGTAGGCCAAGAATGCATGCGCAGACAAGAAAAACTTCCAAGTTGCACTTCCACAGGGAAAACCGAGCATAGATGACAACTGAGACAGACTACATACATACAGCATCATCAAAATAAAAAGAGGGGGGGGAATAGATTCGCTGAAACTCGAACATGTTAGCGTGTCAAAATATTGTGGATGAACAAGTAAAAAGTACATCCTATACATGACTAAGCTTCAGTAAGGTAGATAAAACCTCCTTCATGACTGGCCGCTCCTCTGCATTGAATCGGGTACATGATAAGGCTAACTCTAGGACTTTAACAACCTTGTCTTGCTGTGTTGCAGTCGGAATGTCCATTGCATCGTCCACAATGCTAAGCACAGCATCTACTCCACCTTGAAAGCTGTGTTGCAGTCGGAATGTCCATTGCATCGTCCACAATGCTAAGCACAGCATCTACTCCACCTTGAAAGGATTTCTCCACAAACTCTTGCAATGAGATCGTCCACAATGCTAAGCACAGCATCTACTCCACCTTGAAAGGATTTCTCCACAAACTCTTGCAATGAGACATGCGCTCCATCATGTTCAACAGTCCCAGTTGGCCTTATTCTGGTGAAAAGCTCCATCATAACTATACCGAAGCTGAAGACGTCAACCTTTGTGGTCACATTCTTATTCTGGTGAAAAGCTCCATCATAACTATACCGAAGCTGAAGACGTCAACCTTTGTGGTCACATTCCTCATGTATGCAAATAAGCTCCATCATAACTATACCGAAGCTGAAGACGTCAACCTTTGTGGTCACATTCCTCATGTATGCAAACTCTTTAACATAGAAAACACGTCGATCAGTGACTGTTAAATATCCCTTTTAACTATACTCTGTTCGTGAAAATGCTAAAGTGGACTCGGTATATGCATCAATCGCTATGAGTATAATTGCTTACAAGGTCATTGGATTCTTTTCAATAGAGTCGTTAGTGTTAATGGCGAAGAAAATATATCTTACGTACCAATCTATCAAACCTTAAGCTATACTTAACATCTTCACGAAATAATATCTTTGTTAACAAGTTTAGATGACATTCTCCAATAAAAGTTGTTCCACTTGCAGCCATTGTTGCTGTGGTTATCCTTAACCTTGGATATGAGCTAATTTGCTTCCACTCGTTGAACTATGTTGCATATAATTTATTCTTTTATTATCTAGTTATTTATTTTAATTCCAAATCGGCTTAGCTGTTCATGTTATCTAGTTATTTATTTTAATTCCAAATCGGCTTAGCTGTTCATGTATTATGTGAGCTATGTTTCACAGAACAATAGGAATAGCTAATTTTCTCCTAAACTTAGCTGTTCATGTATTATGTGAGCTATGTTTCACAGAACAATAGGAATAGCTAATTTTCTCCTAAAACTATGATAATTAGATAATATGCATAATTTAAAAGAATCCCTAAATATGTGGATGCACGGAATATGCCAACAAAGTCTACCATAAGCTTACCTGGAGCTATATAGCCGATAGTCCCTTGGAACATCGAAGCAGTCTTGTTGCTGCTTTGATCAGGCAAATGAACACCCAATATTCGAGAAGTTCCAAAATCACTAACATGTGCATCCAAGTCTTGATCCAAGAGTATGTTTGATGGCTTGAGATCACAATGAACAATAGGGAAGTCATATCCAGAATGCAAGTAAACAAGTGCATGAGCAACAGATATACAAATTCGAAGCCTGTCATATATTGTCCACCTCAACCAATCCCCTCCAGAATTGTACATAATATTTTCCAAGTTCCCTTTTTCCATAAACTCAAGAACCAGAGCTTTGAGCTTCCCTGTTTCCCAAGCATAACCCATCACTTTGACAAGGTTCTTATGCTTCAACTGGCTCAAAATCTCCAACTCCCTATGGAAGCATTTGTCTGACTCTGCAGGAAATTGCACCAGGTTCAGTTTTTTCACAGCCACCACTTGCCCACTGCCTTCAAGCCTTCCCTTGTATACCATGCTCATACTGCTTTCACCAAGCATATTTTCCTGGCTGAAGAAATTAGTAGCATTCTCCAACTCTCTTCTGGTGAATTTCTTTATAGATGGTGCGAAGGATGCTCCTCTCTTGATATCTCCTCCATCTACTGGCTTTTGCTTCACACGGTGCCTTTGGTAGATAACACAAGCCACAAGCACTACTAAAAGGATGAAGGACAGAGATGGGAGAGTGATGACAAGTACCAATGCCCTGTTAGAAAACCGATGACCAACATTCTTACATGAAGGCAATAACTTTGAGCCACAAAGAGAAGGATTTCCTTGCAAACTAGAATGATTCAAGTATCTAAACACACCTCCATCTGGTACTCGACCTTCAAACTGATTGAAAGAGAGATCAAGCTGCCTTAGACTAGTAAGGGCAGCTAAGTTTTGGGGAATTGAACCAGTTAACTTATTGTTTGATAAATTTAAGCTTGTAAGCAAGTCAAGCTGAGGGAAAATGCTAGCTGGTAGTTGACCTGAAAGCCTGTTTACTGAGAAATCAAGTGAATGCAGATTCCTGCAACCTTTGATAGCTGAAGGAATACTTCCTGAAAGATTATTGTTTGACAGATCAATAGCTTGAATCATTTCCAATCCCCCAATCTCATCTGGAATAGAACCCGTTAAAAGATTATTTGATAGATTGAGATATAACTGCAAATTCTTCATATTTGCTATCACAGGCCTGGGGATAGAACCACTTAGGAGATTGTTGGAGAGATCTAATGACAACAGTCTTATTAAATCCCCTAAGGATTTCGGTATTGAACCATTCAGCACGTTCCCATGGAGATCAAGGTAAGAGAGTGATTGAAGATTAGAGATAGAATCTGGAATTGAACCCACAAATCTATTCTGATGTAATTCGAGGCGTGAAAGTTGTTTCAATTCAGAAACTTGTTCAGGGATCAAACCTTCGAGAGAGTTCCACTCAAGAGTGAGACCTTGGAGATCTGATAGCATAGAAATCTCCGATGGAACTTCACCAATAAAATTGTTCCTGCCGAGGTCTAAGAACAATAGCGAGGTGAGATTGCCGATATCCTTCGGTATAATACCCGAGAAAGAATTATGTGACAAGAGCAAATTCCGTAATTGGCTGAGTTTTCCAATATCCGGATTCAAAGGCCCAGAAAAATTGCAGTTACGCAAATCCAACGTAGAAAGCCTGCTACAGTTAAAGAGATCATCAGGAATGGGACCTGATAATTGATTGCTCCCCACTGATAAAAATGTCAAGTTCTTAAGCTTCTCTAATCCTGAAGGAATCTCACCAGTGAATCGGTTATAGGCCATGCTCACATTGACAAGACGAGAACAATTGGCAATGCTCAAAGGTATCGGTCCGTCGATAGAATTATAATGAATGACCAACTTCTCCAATTTGAAAAGAGACCCTAAATTGGAAGGAAGGGGACCAGAAAGAGAATTTAAGCTCAAAGCAAGATATGACAGGCTGGTCAGGTTCATCAATGAAGGCGGAATTGAACCAACCAATTTATTCTGATGGAGGGTTAGCACTTGAAGTGAACTCAAAGACCCAAGCCCTGCTGGTATAGAACCAGTCAGCTCATTCTGTGAAAGACCCAGATGTACTAGAGAGCGGCAATGAGATAAAGATGAAGGAATTGTGGAAGAGAGGTTGTTGTTGTAAAGTTGCAAAGCCTGCAACTTGAATAAATTTCCAAGCTCAGGAGGAATACTACCACTCAACTTATTGCTGTAGAGGTTCAAAAGGGTTAAATTTGTGCACCGGCCTAACTCTGCAGGAACCGGACCTGTGAACTGGTTCTCAAACAGCTGAAGGATGAACAAATGCGAGAAGTTGCTGAATTCAGGAGGTATGATTCCTGATAACTGGTTATCACTCAGGTCCAGTGTTTTCATGCTAAGTAGGTTTCTGAATGATGAAGGAAACGAACCAACCAAGCTGTTGGAATAAGCTTGGAAGGTCTCGAGATTAATCAAGTTGCCAATTTCTTCAGGGATAGAACCGCTAAGTTTGTTTGTGTCTAGAGCAAGAGCAATCAAGGAAGTGCAGTTCGATATGCTCTCAGGAATACTCCCATTCAAAACATTAGCACCCAAATCAAGAAGCTGGAGGTTCTTCAACTTACCAAGCTCAGAAGGGATGGGCCCTGAAAGGAGGTTGTCATAGAGGGTGAGCTCCAAGAGCTCCGAGCACTGTGATAGCTGAAGAGGAATTGAACCGAAGAGCGAATTGGATGAGAAATCGATGAGCTGAAGGGTGGAGATGTTGGCAAGGAACGGAGATATTGTGCCGTTGAGTTGCATGTTGGTGAGAGTAACGGCAATGACAGAGTTTGTCAATGTGTCACAGGAGATGCCGGTCCAGTTGCAGTGATGGGTCACGGATGTCCAATTGGTTAAGGAACCAAAGGGGTCACGGTGAATCGACGATTTGAAGGCCAGCAAGGCCTCGAGTTGGACATCGGTGGTCGCTACGACTGAGAAAGTAACGGAATGCAGGAAGAAGAGCAGGAAAAGATGATACCAGTAAAGAGGCATTTTGTCAAACAGGTCGTGAGTTTGAATTTGAGGACGAAGCATCACCCAGCTTTAAATACATGGTAGAGAAGATGGCGACGTCAGAGGAGAAAGTATCAGATGGTTTTTAGTGCATAACATTAAATGCGCATCAAATAGACGTCAACCGTTAGACTATTGGACATGGGGATCCGTGTGCGGATCCAATGATTAACATATATATATTTGGTGCACATTAAATGCCTTGGGGCGTCTCCGCCGCCGGATACTTTGGCATGATCCATGACCAACTGGACAAAAGCAGAGACTTCTTTGACCAGTTTCAGTAGAATGGCGCCAACCGTTGAACCCATGGGGGAGGGAGAAGGGGATAGAAAACGGCGGCCGGAAATTGACAAGTTTGGGTTCAAGGTTTGGGGGAGGAAAGGGAGATTCGTGATTAAAGAAGGTATTATATATAATGTAACAGGATATAGAGTAAGGCGATCAAATCAGTGGAGACCACACAAATCAATAATGCGTTTGCACAAGTTGCTGCAATTATTTCTAGATTGCAAAGGATCTGAACGGAGGACAACAAGTCGCAAGCTGCGCGCTTTGCGACCTCAAGAAGAGCCAGCTTGTCGGCAAGCAAGTTGAAAGTTGATAGAGATGAGATGCATCGCGCGCATCTTTGTATTTTATTTTGGTTGAGAGATTCCTTCCGTGAATACCGCGTGCGGTTTTCTTCAACCGCACGCGGTTTCCTTCTTTTTTTACCCCCCATACAGCGCTGTTGTCTCCGTTGTTAGACCCCCGCGTCCGTTCTTGCATCCCTAAATTGGTTCGCTAACACACCACGCGTGGATCGTATCGATCGTAGTTGATACGGGTATTTTCGCTGCTTAGCTAGAATTCACTCGCTCTGAGCTCCAACAGGCTCAAAATTGCTAACGTTTGCCTTGTTTGAGCATTTGTATTCATAAACGCGTGCCCGCGATAATCACCAGGTTATCAACTCTTCCGAGTAGGTGAGCAAATAAATTCGGAAGTTGAGTCTCTGAAGGGAGCCCCGGTAAGGATTGGAACACAACTCTGTTTGAAAGTTAAGCTGCGGTGAAAAGCCGGCTAAATCCGATCCAGCCCACTAGTAATCAAAAATATCGGAGCCCAAAGGACACATCGTATAGCATGTGAGCTTCAGAAACCAGAGCATCAACTGGAATTAAAAATCATAAAGACGAGGGGGTGAGGAAAAAGGACCTATACAGTGTCTATCCGCCTAGAGCTGCTACACAGGCTGGGCCCATCCAAACCCGCCCAGTCTGACCCATTCGGGCAGGGCTAAAGCCTGGCCTCGATTGATTAATTACGGGATGCGCTGGGCACAGACCTCAAAATCCAGTCCAAAACCCAACCCAATCCATGCTGAAAATCTACAAATCAGGCCCAATACTAATAATCCATTAATGACGCGCCTTAGCCCAAAATGCGGGCCCTAACCAAGCTAAAAATCCAATAAGTAGGAACCCTACTAGGCATCCTTATCTATCACTGCAAAAACTCCTTATCTCAGCCCAAAACGCAGGCCCAAACTAAGCCCAATATTATTAGGCCTTCCGAATTATAAAAAGAAAAATTCTTTAAGGACCCAAAATATGGGACCAATAAAGGAGACAAGTGAGGTGTCCCCCTTCTATTGGATAATGAGTTGGCCATCATTAATGATGACCAACTCATTATCCAAGTACTTCACTTCTTATCTGCTTTACTTTGTGCATTGAGGACAATGCAAAATTTAGGTGTGGGGGTGGGAATTAGCTATTTTTTCCTCTTTATTTTACTTTTTTAGTTGCATTTTTTATTTCTTTTTCTTTATTAAAAAAATTATAAAAATATTGTCACTTGTCAAATTGAAAGAGTTAAGTAATAATTGATTTATTGATAAATTTAAAATTTTCTAATCCCTAGTTGGTTATTTACTTAAGTTTACCTTTTATGATAACTCTAAATAAATTTCTTAAGAAATGATTTTTAAAGTAGTATACTTTACTTAAGCCTTTTACTTGGACTTTTATTTAAAATAATAAAATTTTTGCATGTTTAGCTTAGAGTGGAAAATAAATTTTCAAAGTGTTTTGATTTACATATTTTTTCAGAATATATATACATATACATAAAAAAAATTGTAAAAGAAGAGTGTGAAAAATGGGCACAAAAAAAAGAAAAAAAAACTCTTGAATTCAAGGTGATTCTATTTTATAAAGCATAAACTGACCGAGTAATTAAGCCCAAGGAGTATTTCCATATTTAATGACCTAAGCCCAATTGGATTGGGATCCATTGGCCCAAAACTCTTTAAATGGTCACTTAGAAAGCCCGTAAAGTAGAAAAAAAATCACAAAAGAAGAAAAAGTTAAAAAATAAAGAAAAAATTAATAAAAATAAAAATACTAATAAATGTTTTATATATATAGTTATATTGGCCGACCCAGCCCAAAGCAAGCTGACGGCTAGGTTTGGGTAGCTACCAAGCCATGAAGCAAAGGGGCAAACTCGGCCCGGAAAGCCCAGCCCGGCCCGGCACCAAGTATACATCACCCCCTCAAAACATTTTTATAGATTTTCATGGGGAGTGTATTTGCACAAACAGGACTGCAGGGGTCCATTTGCAATTCTGTGACACCATAGGGGTCTATTTACAATTAACCCTTTAAGAATTTGATTCTTCCAAGGCAAAGCCGTTCAACTCCACCCAACTAGTAATCAAATAGTCAAGAGCCCAAAGAACACACCGCATGTATAGCATGTGAACTTCTGAAACCAAAGAGCATCAAACGGAATTAAAAATCATAAAGAAGAATAAATAAATAAATAAATAAAAAGGAGTCTAAAAAAGATATGTTTAAAATTCAAAGAAAAAGGCTTATAAGACAAAAAAAAAATGAAGATAACCCGAATCCTGTTTCCTTGAAGCGCAGCATTGTTTCAGAATTCCGGCATGCTAATCAGCAGATCAAGACAACTACTAATATTAAAGTAATGAGAGAATTTACAACGTTCAATAAAACAAAAACAAAAAATTGAACCCACGATAATCAATTAAAATATCAAACGGACGGTGGTGAAGGCGTGAAGATCAGAATAAATAATTAAATAATTTGGGATCAGACTGACGTGCAAACTTTTCAGCAAAAGCTGCCGCGTGAGAGCTGCAGCCTATGTTGCAAATAATCCATCATCAGAATAAACATACAGGAAGAAAGAAATAAAAAAACCCATTTAATAAATAGTATATATATACTATATATATATAATATATATATATATATATATATATATATATATATATATATATATATATATACTGATAAATAAAGCCGTAAAAATACCGACGGCATCGCATAATAATACTAACAAACGGACATGGCGCAACAAGTTAGGCCACTTGGCAGAAGTCTGCCATAAAAACACCGCCCACCAAACGGCGGCCTCATTTTTAGCCATCAAAACCACACCGCATGGGCTAGTGACATGCTCTTCCTAAATTGAACAATTTTTCAAAACCGGCCTGAATTTTTTTTTTTTTTCAAAACGGAACTGTTTTTTTTTTTATCTTATCAAAACGCGACCACGGTTTTGTAATTAGCAGTAGTTAATGACTATCCTAAATAGCTCGGGGTTGCCAACACCGACTATTTAGGAGGCGGGTAAACCCTAATTATAAGGGTGATTAGCATGTTCAATTCACTATCCTAAATAGTCGGCGTTGCCAACGCCCAGACTATTTAAATAGTGTGACTTAGACGCTGCAATCACAAACCGGGTCGATTTTGATAAATTTTTAAAAAAAAAAAAAAAAACAGTCGGTTTTGGAAAAAAAAAAAAAAAATCAGGCGGTTTTGAAAAATTGTTCTCCCTAAATTCGTTGCCTGTAAATTCTAGAAATCATACTTAACAAGCTCAAAATGCACATAACTAAACATTGTGCTTAAAGAGGGCTAAATGAAAAACTAAATCACAACAGAAAATCATCAACATGTCTAATATTTACAAAACAAACCCAAAAAAAATAATTATCCAGAAAACTTAGACAGCGCCTTACAACCGTAAACAAACTAAAGAATTACACTTTTCCCTCCGTTTTAAAACCAGTTTTACCTAGTCACGTGACGGCCGCTTCCCGTTGCTCTTGGCCGCAACGTCCTTCTCCTTCTTCGAGAAGAATCCGAAGACCGAACCGGACTTTGTCGAACCCCGAATCCGACAAACCGGCACATTGAGAACGGGGCTCACGCGAACCACGTTGGCCGAAAATGACCGCTCCATCCCTCTCGCTCTAACCCTAGGCCCGCCGTTGAAGCTGCTGGGGCTGCTCGTGCTCCTCTCTAAGCTCCCGGAGTAGAAAACCACTTTCCCCGACGAGTTCATCCTCGGGCTCTCAGCATCCACGACGGATCTCCTAACTGGCC